AATGCAAAAAAGGGGCAGTTCTTAACCCTTTTTTTCAAACAAAAAAAAAAAAAAAAAAAAACATTCAGGGCAACATGAACAAGGGTACACACCCGGGCCTGGGCAAGGATGGCTTGGGCCTGAGCTTCTTGTGCCGTCACCACTGGACCTTTTGAAGCTTCTCCACCAGCGCGGAACTGTCAGAGAAACATCCACAAACACAGAAATCGCAAGTTTATTTCAGTACTTTTACTGCATGCTGGAATTAAGAGGGGCCACTGGAGTCCCTACGACATAAAGCGGCTTCAACGGTCTTGTCATTATGGGTTTGCATCTGGGCTGCAAAGTGCCAGTTTGTGTAGAGTTAATGTAGACTGCTTGGTGTAGCGTGAGTGCAGTGGGGTTACAGGGTGGGGTTAGGGCTTTTTGCAGCTGTAACAATCCATAACCTACTTGGACGTTTACAATGATAGTAATTTGTCTGATGTTAGAGGAAGTGGCCATTTGCAGCTGATTTTGAGATAAGTTTGGTGGTTTCTCTAAGAATGTGGTCTAGAAAATCTTGTCTTTAATCACAATCATTGGAAATGTATGGGTTGGACGAGCTTACCGGCAACATGAGGATGGTGCCAGAGGGCCCCGGAGCTCCATCTGCGCCTGGCAAACCAGGACGACCAGGAGGGCCCTGAGAGAAGAAGAGAGAAGGAGAAAACAAGGAGGGAGAACAGAAGGAAAGGTTGTGTGGAAAACGAATGTGAAAATGGCTGTACAAAATAAAAAACTATTGGCATGGAAAGAGACTCTTTCTTTAAATTTTAAAATACACCAATCCGCTCATGAGCAAAGGAAAAATACTGTAGGATAATTTTAAATTGTCGGTTAGGTCACCTAAATCTACTCAAAATCCCTAAACAGTCCAAAAAAAAAAACCTAAATTCTAAATTGACTAAATTCTTTTGAGAAAAATGCTGTGGCGCTTTCGCAAATTGCACCTAAACTGCGGGAGATTTCCACAGCGTTCCTTACCCCCGAAATAAAAAAATAGCTAATGTGCTAAAGCCCATCATTATCCCATAATAATACACTTAAGTTTATTTCGCTTTATATTTACACAGAGGTTTATGTATGTTTTATGTTGTTTATAGCTCCTTTCATTGCACTGTTTATTTGTGTGTGTGCTCGTAATGTAACTTTACACCCCACAAGAAAAGCGGGGAGGACTATAACACATGCAGACATATGATGGAATGCTGCTAGGGTAGTTTTGGGAAGAGATCTCTTTAGCAGGCATGTCACGCTCCTCTTGCAGATGGCTCACTTTAAATTGTTCCCATATGACGGTGTAATTGTGTGAGTGCATGTGTGTGTGTTTTAAGGCTGGGCAAACGTCCTTTCTATGTAACATATACACTGACACCTAGCGCACATGTGCTTCTGTATATAAATCAGTGAGGATGTGCTCTGTAAAAGGGTCAGGCTATCAAGGGAAGTGGCCATCGTTGTTAATTAGGCATTTTCAGCTACAGATTTTGCCCTTGTACGAGGAGGAAATGATGGACATTAAAGCGAGTGGTAAATCACTTCCCCTCACAGACAAAAAGCCCTTTGTGCTGGTAGACGTAGGTCAATAATGGTGGGAGTGCTCTCTGTTTCCCAGAATGCACTGCAAATGTTAACTCTGCGGGAGGTGAAGAAGAAGAGGCCAAACTGCACCACCGTAAAGAGGAAAAAAATCCAGCTGTTTGTTAATTTCCGACCAGCTTTTCTCTGTGTACTAGTCAACAGAGCGCATTTGCTATTCTGAAAAATGGTGCCGACATAAGGATCAATGGGAGAATAAGTATGTGTTAATGTGTATGAGAGGTTATACGGTCTGCTGTTCCTCTGGAAGTGTTATTAGAGTGAGGATTTATAAGCAGATCTGGTTTCAACGTGGCCTCCCAGGTCTTTGTAATACACACACATCTGCTCATTCACATAGTTACAACATGCTGCTTGCCATTGGCTTATTCTCTTGATGCTTTAAACAATGTAAACTTTACCATTGTCTTTGTGTGGAAGTCAAAAACTACTAACTCCTCTAATAAATTTAGAAAAGGATAGTGAAAGTTCTGACAGGGCTACCTATAACTGGTATATACAGTGGGTACGCAAAGTATTCAGACCCCCTTAAATTTTTCACTCTTTGTTATATTGCAGCCATTTGCTAAAATCATTTAAGTAAATTTTTTTTCCTCATTAATGTACACACAGCACCCCATATTGACAGAAAAACACAGAATTGTTGACATCTTTGCAGATTTATTAAAAAAGAAAAACTGAAACATCACATGGTCCTAAGTATTCAGACACTTTGCTCTGTGTTTAGTAGAAGCCCCCTTTTGATCTAATACAGCCATGAGTCTTATTGGGAAAGATGCAACAAGTTTTTCACACATGGATTTGGGGATCCTCTGCCATTCCTCCTTGCAAATCCTCTCCAGTTCTGTCAGGTTGGACGGTATATATGTGTGTGTGTGTGTGTGTGTGTGTGAATAAGATAAGTGAAAGTGATAAGTGATAAGTGTGTGTAAGTGAATAAGATATCTTAGAAACAGAGATATTAAAGGTCCCATATTTTACACCTTTCTGGAGTTTTATTTTAGGTTTTGATGTCCTTAAGAATATATATTGGCGGTATAAGTACCAAAAACCATCTCAATATATTTTTACAGCTCCTTTCTCAGGAGCTCTGCTGAGAACAGGTCGATTTTGGCCTGTCTAATTAATATTCATGAGCCTCTCTTCTGATTGGCCTGTTGTTTTCTGAGTGACGCACGGCCAGGCCAACCACAGGT